AAAGTCGCAAAGAGAATCGAACAAAGTTGTTGTTTTTGTTTTAAATTATATTATATAATTTTTGATGTTGCCACCGATTCGCCCCTTTTAGCTAGGATATGTAAGGTAGGTTCTTACTGTTGATGGATAATGTACGAGAGAATTCTTAGTGTTGACAAAAAAAAAATTGTATGTATTTATGTTCACTCGATGATAACTTGTGCACTAGCGACAAGTACACATATCTTTCCAGGGTTTAATTATTATATAAAAGAAGAAAAAAAATGAATGTGAAACAAAGAAAAAAAAAATGCGAATGAACAAGAGATGAAACTTTTGCAAACAAAAAAAATAATATTATAAAAAAAAACACAAAAAATATCATATTGTACATAATAACTAATATTATATATATATTTAATAGAAAGAAGAAAAAAAAATAATATGTGCCAAGTAAACCGTTCATTTACTTACTTTTTCGTTCAGATTCCGGCACACATTTTCAAACGCTCGTTCTTTATTACATAATTTTTAATTTATTTAATTTACAAAAATTCGATTGTTAAACTTCGAAAACAACAACAGAATAATTTCGTTTTGAATCGCAAATCTTAGTTCAGTTTTAGCTCTGAAGACTGAAAACGGAATCTACGTTGTTTGTTTTTTTTTTCTTTTTTGATCTGGGCGCGGATTGGGGTAAAATCCGATTTCGTTTTGGCTGCAGAAACGACAAACCAACAACAAACGAAGAAATCATTGTTTTTGACTTATAATATTTTTAATGACTTTAATCATTTTTCTCGTCTGATTAGGTTTAAATTATGTTTTACTAAATTGCCGCATATTTCGTTTGCGCGGTAAGATTATTATATTAATTGTTTTGTTGATTACTTTTTTTTTGTGATACGGTCGAACCAAAGAAAATTATTTTAGATTTTCCACATTTTCCTCCCCGAGTAAAAAAAAAACAAAAAAAAAATATTGAAAATTAATATATTTTTTACTTTATAATTCGTGCCATTATTGAAATACAAAGAATTTATTAAATTTGGAAACATTGAAAATGTTCTTTTTAAATTTAAGGCGTAGTTAGGTTTTCGTCCTCCGCGGAAAGAACGCGGATTTATCGAGTCGTCGGATGATGATGACGAGGGAGCGATAGTTTTTTTTTTATTTAAAGAACAAAAGAAACTAATGCAATTTTTAACGAGCAGCGCGCGTCTTGTTTCTTTTATAAATTATATAAAAAAAAATTAATTCGTTATTTAATTTTAAAACTTTGTTTCTATTGTACATTTGTTTCGTTGGCGCGCTGCTTTTATTAAATCTTAATTAAAAGAAATTTACTAGTCATAATTCGCTAAAAAACCCTCGAGAATCGTCACATCCAGCAGAACGTCCGTGTCTTTCCCTAACGGAGCGAAATTAGATGTTTTTTAAGACTTGGTGGATTGTTAAATATAAAAGAAAAAGATGGAGTAAAAATATGGAAATTGCATATCTATTCATGCCAATGAAAAAAAAAAAGAAACCTTTAAGAAAATTTAAATTATTTATATATATTTACGAGACAAAATGATGAATGAATGAAACGGAAATAGAAAACAGTATTAAAAGAAATTGGAAATTTGTACCTAATGGTAGACGTTTAGGATATTTTGTAAAGAAGATATAAATTAATAGTAATTAAAAGAAGAAACTTTATCTTTCTACGTTTTTTGATCTTTATCGAAATTGAAGCTCCAGTAGATTTTTTAAACTTATCAGAAATTATTCAAGAACGTTTTTGGTTTTGGTTATAATTTATTTACAATTTTTTTTTGGCGTGAAGTAGAATAGTGTCTGTAATGATTGTCTGTGTACTTTAATCGAAAGCCAAACTCAGAGCAGGGAAACTCGGCAGAAAGCAATTCGCGTTGTTTTCTTTTGCCCACCCCCACGTTCGCGTTTCTCGTCGTTGGTGTTGTTAATATTTATCTTTATATACTTTACTATTTTCCTTTCGGTTTGGTTGTTTCCTTCATTGATTCTGTTTCGTTTTCTGTCGCTAGTTTAAAAATTAAATAAAAAAAAACAGTTTCAGCAGTTGACTTTTCATGTGCAAGAGGCTAGTGTTTTATGATGATGATGACGATGATGTTAACGATGAAGACGATGTGTTGATAACGATGATGATGATATGATAATTCAGATTGCTCCCGTGTTGTTGAGAAACGAGACCCTTCCTCCCCTCATCCCAGAGAAAAAGAAAATCTAAAGAAAACCCCCAATATGTTTTTTGTTCATTCACATGTTTGCAACAAGATGCCTTTGATACAGTACAACACAACCAATTTTTTACACTTACAAGCGTAAAAAATATGAAAATATATATATTAAAAAAAAAGAAGAGAAAAAATGAAAATAATAATAAATTACTGATATATACCTCAATACTCAGCCAACCTTTTCAGATGTACTTATGATAGTATCGTATTAGGATTTAAGGAACAAAAAATAAAATAAATAAGGAAATAAACAACGTGAAACGTTAGCTTTAGATATGCTTCTCTATTGATATATTTTTATTATTATTATTATTGTAATTCCTATTCTATCGATTTCGCGAATCCGGTTTTCCGAGAGAGAGGAAAAAAGAAACACAATAACAAACAAAGTCATAGTGCCATCATCTTAGCGTTCGACTAAAAATGGAGGAAAATAACAAGAGGAATAAGTTCTTAGCATGAAACCAAAACAATTTTGACGGTTGGCGCGCGAACTCAAATGATATATATCTATATTGACAAACCTAAACAAACAACAACAAAAGAACAAATCAGGGAATAGAAATGAAATATTTTTGATTATATTTTAAACTTAGCCTAATTAAAGTAATTATTATAAATATATATATATAAATGTATATGAATGTAAGTATGTGTGTATATCGGGTGTAAAGGCGTCAGCGCAGCAACGGTCAAAATTGTATCAACATTTAAGAAATATTTGTACATATATGTACTGCGACATAATGAATTTACAAGTGAAAACAGAACATATAGACATATCAAAGTAATAGAAAATACATATATTATATATTATAAATATATTTAATTTAATTTAATTGAAGCCTCTATGACTTTGCTTAATGAATAACAGAATTATATAAGAAGAAGTAAAACAGGATTACTTCAATGGACATAGAAGGAACATACGTATGAAAAAAAACACGCAAAATGAATCTTTAGAATATGTAATGAAAGCCATTTGTAATGTATATATTTATATTATTATATATAATTTTTTAATTTCTTAAATATTTGTTTGTTTTTATATATAATTATTATAAATATGTTTTCTTTATTAATTCGGTGACATTATTTCTTTTTTTTTTCTTTGTTCATTATTATTATTACTTTGTTTAATTCTTTAATGTACATATTTATATAGCGCAAACACTAACTGAAGCTTTGAAGGGTTTTAATTTAAGTACATACATGTCTTTTATTTTTATTATTATTTTTCCTCATTTGTTTTCGTTTTGTATAATCAGCTTCACATTGAAATTTCTTAAGAATATGCTTCCATTATTATTATTATTATGTTTAATTAATTATTAATTATTATGTTTAGGATTATTATTATTATTATTTTTTATTTAAAGTCTATTATTAAGGGTAACTTTTGTTATTATGAATGATGAAGAGAAATGAACAAAACAGAATATAATAAAATAATGAAAAAAAAAAACTTATTGAATATATTATCAATTGATTGTTGGTGTAATAAAATAACTAAAAAAATAACTGGACTTGTCTTTTCTTACTTTTCAACCATTTCCCATTTTCTTTTCATAATTTATAGGTTTTTTTTTATCTCTGCCAAATGGAAATCTACTTGTTTTGTAACAATTAGCAAAGGACATCGATCACCCATCCAGGTACGTACTATAAACCTTGCTTAACTTAGCGTAAGTTGTACAATATTCAGTAGTGAAACATATTTCAACAAATCGACACTTGAAGCGACATCTAGTAACAATAACGTGTACAATTCTTCTCATATTAATATTGCTAACGAAAAATCCAAATTCAAATAATAACTTTGATTCTAAGATTTGTTTCAATATTTTCATCTACTTTTTAACATATTGCTATACAAATTTATCAAATTCTTTTAAAAATAAATGTAGTTTATTACAAAAATTAATTACAATTTCTGTTTCTACCTACACTTTTACGTGTGTAAGTGATTTTTTTGAGTTGGTACACTTGTTAACAAAATACAATACTCTTGTAAATAATAAATAATTTTGTTCACAATTATTAAACTTAGTGAAAACGCAACTTAAGTAGGAAAAACAGTATTTGTACTTCACACGTATATGTAATTACTATAAGAAATTGTTTTATTTGATTAGTATTTTTCACAATTTGATGAAAGTTCTAATTACATTTCGTAAGTTTTCAAAAGTTAAAACATTCATTAATGTCGTAATTACATTGTATATTTAGTAATTAGTATATTTAAATAAGTTTAACTAACCTTTACATGTCTTCTTTAACGCTGTGACAACATGTTTTTTTCTTATTAAATTTAATTCTTTAAATGTCAGATTATGTTGACATAAGCTGCCCTAGATTTCAATATAAAAACAAATTCAAAGTTAATACATTTATGATGAATCTATCCTTGTTTATAATTAAATTGAATGTTAAAGGTATGACCCTTATCGAAGATGTTGCTAAATAAATATTGGAAAGATCATATGGAATTCAAAGAAATATCGGTTCGCCTCGAGGGAATTGAGATATAAAGCCGAAACGCGTCGTAATTTGATTTATTGGAGGAGATCTGGACTCCCCCTATATAATATGTAGCAGTAATGACAATCGGTTAGGAAGTAGTGCGAACCACAACCGCCACCTTTTTACACTCCGCTCCACTTCTTCATCAGCTTCTGTATGTTTTTTTTTTTCGTTGGAATCGATGGAATCACCATGGAAACGAATCCATAAATGAAAACAAATGTACGCCATCGTCCATTATTATCTTTTCAAATGCCATTTCAATTCCGGCGTCCTTCACTCGGACCCAACATAAATCCAGAATGAAGAGCAATCAATTGAATGTGAAGATATTAATCATCGGAACGAGAAATGTGAGTTTCTATTATTCCATTTTCGTTTTCAATCGCACAATTTTTTCTCTTTCTTTTTTTTTATAATTGACAACAGGCCGGAAAGTCGAGTATAGCAAATTTCTTAGCCGATATGAGTCTGGAAGTGCCGGATTCAATGAGACCGACGGATTCACTCCGGATTTTGGAATACGATCTGCACGATGTGGATGTTAATGGGACTAAGAGTAATGTGGACGTGCAGTTATGGGACACGAGCGGAAACGAGAAGTTGTCCCTTCTTTTTTCCTTAAACTTGATTTTCTCTTTTTGTCTGTTTAATTTTCCAGATGCGTTTCGTTTTGGCCGTTTTGGAGGAAAAACGCCGACGGCGTCGTCTTTGCGTATTCAAATGAGGACGAAGATTACGGAAAGAAACTGGATTACATGCACAATTACTTCGTCAGTCAGCAGGGCCTCAGCTTAAGGGCATGTTTAGTTTGCACACTGAACTCTCCAGCGGATAATTCGGCGAAATTACGTAAATATATGATGGCCGTTGCGAAGCGACCGAAGTCTCTAATTCTACTCTCTCTCTCTCCCTCCGTAGCTCAGGTCTTCAATAAAATCTCTCAGATCAACGTCAACCTGGAAAACAACGCCGAAAAGTTTCGACAAGAGTTTGCCAAGTACATTGTCTCCGTAGCTAACAACCTCACCAATAAATAAACAAGTTTTCGCAAAGTTCAATATTCTCTGTAAACTACAACTATACGATATAACTGTTTTTAAGATGAAGAAAACAAACTTTGTGAAAATATAATAATTTCTAATTTCTACATAATATTAATGAAACTTTCATAAAGATGTCATAAAAGAAACGTTACTATTGTATTTTAATATGACGTTTAACCCTTTCCAGGTTACATACTGTTAAAAATACATCTAGCTTCAATTTACATTAGTTGCATCAAACAGTTTTAATCGTCGAAAGACAATTGGAATCACTGGGTTAAATTATACAATATGACCTATGGTCCATCCATCTTTGCAGCAGTTAACTTTTTTGTTTTCCTATTATTGTATGAAAATGTTTAATTTTATTTGTTTATTATAGCAAAAAGATTATTGTTATTAATAAGAAGTAAAAATTAAAAATTGTTATTCCTAACCTTTCATAACCTAACCTAAAAAAAAATGATGTGTTTACATAATTGTTGTACGTTGGCAATACATGGAAAATTAATATTAATAAAAAAAAAGCAAGGACTTTATTTGTTATATATATATAAATAATCATTTTTACTGAAGAGAAGAAGTCTTATCTTAATTACTATTAAATATTCATTAAATAAACAACTTTAAAACTATAATCTACTAAGTTACAAAGGTTAGATTTCGGCCCTATTTCTAGCCCTAGCCGCCACGAATTTTATTGGTTATTGGGAATCGAACCAACGAACTTTCGTATCAGATTTTCGTGATACAGGCAACCATAGTAGGTTACATGTTATATAAGAATAACGACCAATAACGACCGTTGAAAAGATAATATGGCGTAATCTGTAAACATTTTCTTGCTATTATGTTGGCAGTAAAATTGACTTTGGCGTCAATTCAACAGTTTGTGTTTTGATAGTTGTTGAACAGTGAAAAACCGTTGACTAATGAACAATAATATGCCATAGGATATAAACTGGTGTGAAAATACTTCAAAGATTGTTTTAAATAAGGATTTCAAGAAGAGAACGTAAGACAGATTTGTGATAAAATGCCTAAAGTATCTCGAACAGCGTGCAGCAGCACCACAATAAACACAACAAACATGGATTTTCTCAGTGAAGGTTTGTTTGGTTAAATTTGAAATGATCTAAAGATAATTGATTTTGATTTTGCAGAAAACACATATTTGAGAACTAAAAACCGCGAGCTTGCAAAAGCTTTGGGTGACATGAAATCAGAGTTTAATAATCTACGGATGAAAAACTCTTCTTTGTATGATCAGAGTGTGTCTCAGCTATTGACTAACCGTAATCTAATGCATGCCCTCAAGAACATCAATGGAGATGCTATTGAAGCATTGACAATGATAGGAAGATTGAGTGAAGTTATTATTAAGATTATGAATGACACAAAAGTGGTTACTGAATCTTCAGGTAAATCTACTTCATAATAATAATAATAATAGAATTGTTTATGATAATTGAAATTTTAGTAATTGAAACAGAGAATCCAAACCATAAGCAGAATTCATCTCGACGTATGGTTAGTGATCATTTTCTAATGAACCCCACAGTTACACTGAGAAGATGTAACATTGATAATTTGAATGAGGACTTGCAAAGGAGGGGCAGAGACGAAGAAATCAACAGTAGCTTAGTGAATGTAAGTTTTAGTCTAATTGGACTGTTTATCTTGATTGATCTCATTGAATTTGCTAGATAACACCCATGGACCAATTAGTAGAAGAACCAGAAAACAGTAATTCTCCCCAAAACGACGATTTAGAAAATAATGACCCCAACCAAAATGATTGTAGTGAACACCCCAAGTAATTCTAAATCAACATAGTTATTAATCTTATTATTGATCAATCAATTTTGTTTTAGCTTAACAACAGTGCAGGAAATTGATGAGGATAATCTTAGTCAAACTATTGTGCATCCATCAAGTACTAATGTAAAGTTTAGCAACATATTCAATTTCTTCTATAATCATTCCGCAATTTTAGATCTCTCAACATTTGTCGCCTCTCCACGAAAATATGACGAGCAGAAAACGTAACAGTTCACCACTCATCACACGTAGGAATAAGAAGCTGAATATGAACAAATCACCATTCAGCATGTCTAGTTTAAATTCAAGTCTGAGCAATAACTTTGGAAGCTCTGAAGTGAGTCTCTCAGTGACGAATAGTGATACATCAATTACAGCATCAACGACTCCAGCTAGAAGGAAAAATGTTGCAAGCAAACAACTGGAAGAAACCTTTAACCCATCCCTTCAATCAACGTAAGTCCATCACTTTATAATGTAATTCATTTATTAAAACGAAAATTTTCAGATCTACACCGTACAAATTTGAATCCAATAAAATGACTGATTTATCGAAAAGGTGAGTTCAATCTTAAATCATACTTACTTTTATATAATAACGTTACTTTATTTTAGGAATACAAATAGCAACATAGACAATTGTAAAGTGATGTTGACTCGATTACCGTTACCTCTTATTTCTGCCATTTCGAATGGAAATACTTATAGCAAAAGGTAAGACTTTCTCAATGTAATTTATATATCTAACTCTGAATTATTTTACAGCGACGACGATTCCGATGAATCCACGCTAATTGAGAGCAATACGCATTTAAGCAAAACTAATTTAAAAAGCTCTGCTGGTAAGAGGAAAGTTCTGAAAACAACGAAAAGCAAATCGGAAAGAGCATCCAGGTACGTATTCTAAACTGCGAACTCTACCCTCATACAATTAACATTTTTTTCTCGTCAGTTCCATAAATTCGACGAAAGATTCACAAGCCGATGAAATGTAAGTGATTATTGAAATGAATTTTAGTTTTAACTAATACAAAAATATATAATTTCAGATCAATCAATACGCGACCAAAGAGGAATGCCGCTCCAAAAAGTATGAAAGAACCTTCATTAAACTCGTGAGTTTGCTTTTATTATGAATCGATTTAACGTCTTACTAATGTTTTGTTATTTTACGTTTCAGCCGAATGAGAAGACCATAGAACTGTTTATATTAAGTTTCATTTAATTTATCGAAGAAGTTATGAAATTAACAATATTTTTTTATATATGATAATAACATTTTATTTATTTTTTTCAATGCAGAAGATTTATAATATTGATTGAAAATATTCCTCCAAAAGTGTTACCTTTAAAAGGTGAAATATACATATTGAGATTATTATTGAACGTTTTTTTTTATTATTAACATCATTATCCTATCCGATTTTGATGCTATTTCTGTCACCATAGTTTGAACGAAGAAGATTAAAGAACATAGGATAAATCAGAATCACCACTATTTTTGTTTTGTTTTATTTGTTACTCCATACCTCTCAATCAACAATACCATTTATTAATTAATAATAAATTAAAAGTAGAATGAAAACAATAGACGACATCATTATTTTTTTTTTGTTATTTATATATTTATATTATGTCGCATATCGAAATCCATACGGACTTTTCTTTGTAACACAATCAACGAAGACCGAACGAGTTATTCATACGTTTATAAATTTAATGTTTATAGCGATCGCATCGTGTAAACCATTTGGAAAATAAACGCGCACTACTACCAGCGGCTCGGGGATTATCACGCACACTATTTACAACGAATCCGAGATTCAGCCAAGACGTTTACTTTCCATTCAAGTTACACGAAACGAAACTACTCGAGAAACGAAACTGCATGCAATTAAAAACTCAAATTAAATGAAAATTAAGAGAAGAAACATAAAAAGAGGGTAACCCCCCCAAGACACAACGTTAAATGGACTGGAACGTCACCTATCTAATGTACACCGTTTGGAAGAGAATTTTTCAAACTATACAAATACATCGTCAATTTCATAATAATAATGAATAACCATCATCCGAATCCGGAAAACCAATTTCGCCATCCCAACATTCCTCTATATATTGTTTTTTTTATACAGTTAGTCGCGTGTCTTCGGTGTCAATTTTTTTCTTTGTTTCATCATATATACATTCTTCCTTGCTAACATTATTTCTCAAAGAAGTACAATAAAACGAAAAATATCTAAACGGAGCGCCACATAACAATCTACGTACAAAGATATGTTTAATTATTTTCGAGAAACATAAATGTAAATAAGTAGAAACGAACGGAAAGGGAAGATATATCGTACAGAAGCGTAAATTTTTTTATATCCATTACATGTTTACTTATACGTATTTAGTTTTCTTCTTCATCATCATTAGTGTTTTTTTTTTGTCTCATACTTTTTGGTATGATTTTTTATTGAGTTTGCTGCCTATAAAATTAAATATTTATATATAACCATCTATGAAATAATAAGTAATGGTAAACTAAACGTTAATCGATTCAAATAAAACTAACTGAAAATAAGATGTGCCCTTATTAAAAAGTGTTTTCCTTAGTGAAAGCTCAGTCCCTTGCGTAGATGTACCCTTGCTGTTGCAATACGTACAGACGTTTCTCCACCGCTTCTTTATCTGTAAACGAAGAATATAACTGCCATATACGTGATATTAATTAGAAGATCTTACATTTTGTTAAACGTTGTCTATCCTGTGGATTATGAACCTGCTGGGATAAACTGTGCAAGAGTATTTGGGCCGTCTGGTATCTTTGAAAACATTCTTCGGGATTTCCGAAGAGCTCGTCTAAAGCAGCCGATTGACACTGGAATCAACGTAATTAATTAACAAGAACTATGTTTTGATATAGGTTACTAACGATTTGAATCGCATGATTGTACAGGATGTTATCAGCGGCAACGTTCGCTGATCCCACTTTGCTCAGCAATCCGATGCTGTTGAGTTGCTTGCATTCGGCTAGTGTTGATCGAAACTTTGTGTTCAAAGCAGTCATTACTGAAAGAAGAAATAATAATTAAGAAATGAACATTTTCACTTGGAACTAAATAATTTACCAGTTTTGACGGTGCTACTAGGTCGCAACTGCCCGCTGTTCAATTGCTGAGTAGCAAGAGACAAACCGGAGCTGAGCAGTTGCAGAGCTCTTATTAAAAGAACCAACTGCTCAGCGCGTCGTCCCATTTCGGTTTGAGGTTGCATCTGTGTCGAAGCATCTACCAAAGCTCCAAGAGGTGTAGAACGTGCAGCCGCAAACTCCAAAACGCAATTGCTCAAAGCGAGCACGTAATTGATCTTAGCCAATGTTTCATTATGCTCTTTCTAAAAAAAAAAGTTGAATTAATAATTGCTATGAGAAAATCTATAGTAAGATAATACTTCAAGTAAAGTTTCTTCAGGAAGTTCGGGAGCGATGAATGTGCGCTCCGGTTCAATAGCGTTATTGTCACCAAAGAGGCTTTGAAAATTGCACATTTCTGAAATGTTTGGTAGCGTAACAGGCCTAGTTCCGAACGGTATAATCGGCGAGTTCCGTAGATTGTTGTTATCGGACAAATTTGGGCTGCTCAGAATGGGCACTCTGGCCAGTGGGCCGCTTAAAACTGGAGAAGTACTCAAACAATTATCTACAATGTTCAACAATGGATTGTAATAACCAAACATCATTTTACTGAAATTTGATCACGTTACCTGAACGTCTTAGAGGCGAGCTGCTGGGTATGTGTCTGGTTACAGGCGAGACTTGCCATATACTCGGAGGTGGCGGAGTCTCGCTTATGGATCCGCTGGAGGACGTGCGACGACGTCCGCCACTTGGAGGTGTACCAATCACGAACTGAACCTACATAATAGCTTATTTAATATCATCATCATAATATCTGCATACTAAGATCATTACCGAAGGAGGAGAGAGTGAACTTATATCGATGTCGTTGTGAACGACGCGGTTTTCCGATCTTTTCATATTGATCGGCTGCGATCTCGGCACGGAGCTCTTCGCAACCGATTGCTCCGTGCTCTTATCCTGCGGATTGTTTAACTTTTCGTATACATGTCTTTGGGTAGGAACGGGTATAGGCTCCGAGATTGGTAACGTGCTGGGTCTCAGCGGTGTTATAACAGGTACGCATGGCTGAGGCAGCGTGGTTCTAACGGGCGCCACCACCTTGTAACTGCAATGCAAAACAATTAGAACTAACCCCCAAACACCAAAAAAAAACTAAATCTTACTATCTATCGTGTGTATTATCGTTGGAATGCTCGGTGGTGGGCAGATTAGAAGGTACTAGGACGAAATCATCTTCTAAGCTTGAACTTAAAGCCGTTTTGGGTAACTTTGAATATTCTGAAACATCTTTAGATTAACAACAAAAACTTATTTTTTTCACGATCAACGTACCTGGTGTGGGCATCGATCTGGGCGGAGTTCCCACTTTTATCGGAGTCACAGCCCTCAGTGACACTTTGGTTATTGTTGGTGATCCGTAAACGGTAGGCGGCATCGGCAGATCCACCGGGATCTGCGGTTGCTGAGGTTCGGGCCTCTGCAGGAACTTGTGATTGAAAAACGTCTCGAAGTTCATGCGATCCTTTGCGTTTCGCTTCAACAGACCGTTCAACAATTCACTCAGCTCCGGACTAGTCCCAGCAGGAATTCTGCAAAGAAAATTAATTATTTATACACTATAAAACAATCACCACAAAAAGAAAACATAAAAAAAAATAAAATTACTTTTTAAATTAACTACGAACATTAAATCTGACGTTGACATACTTAGTTATAATAAGCACATTTGATCAAAAAAAAAAATGAAAATTAAATGATAATGATGTATGTACTAACTTGGGTGCTAAATTTGCATTTTTCTCGTAGTACTGCTTCAAAGCCTGCGGAGTGTTCGCCTGAAACGGCGCTTTTCCAGTCAAACATTGGAAAACTATGGTTCCCAAACTCCAAAGATCAGCCTTCGCATCGTACTGCATGGACATGATGACTTCAGGGGCCTAAATTGCATGAATAATACAACGATTAGTATTTACTATGTTCTGAGAGTTAAAATGATCATGTTATACCATATACATTGGACTACCGCACAAAGTTGCAGCCATGACGCCGTCCTGCAAGAATCTTGCAAATCCAAAATCCGCTGTAAAAACAAACAAAAAACCGTATAAGCTTAAAAAAAATGAGTTTTGATTTAAGTAATGTAGTATACTAATATTAACATAACTTAATATATTAGACATTCCAAATTTATCTACTTTTTGTATTAATAGAAAGTACTTTTAAATATAATTTAATTGCAGTTTAGATGAAGTTGTTGCATAATATTTTTGATTAAATATTATCCAACTCCTAATTTTATCTATTATCTAGTTAATCTAAATTTGTCAACATTTATAAAGGAATTTTTCAAATTTAAATAGAACACGTCACAAAACCTGTTGTTGTTGAAGCTAAATCTTAATATTATGAATGTACTCATCTATATAAAAAGCAGACAATTAAAAAAAAAACAAGCGTTTTACAGAGGAGCAAACTGATATGGATATGAAAGACTATACCTATTTTCAATCTAATCTCGGATGGTTGTGGATGTGGCTTCGTTCCACTATGCGCCAAAAGGATGTTCTGCGGCTTCAGATCTCGATGAACAATGTCTTTGTTATACAACGCTTTCATTGCTCCAGCTAAACATTATCAAATATAAAATTATACGTAAATGATTTGTCATCGAAATATAGAAGAAAATAAATAGCAGCACATACCCAATTGTACTAAAAACAGCCTGATTGTGTCTTCGCTCAGCGTTCCTTTAACTGAAACCAAATACAATATGTAAACAATAAGATAATTACAAACAACGTATCAACTTACCATTCAAGTAGTCAGCCAAATCTCCTCCATTGCAATACTGTAAAGAAAATAAATAAAACTGAATAAGTACAACATATAAATTATATAATAGTTTCAATTGTCAATAACAATAACTAAGAGTTAATTAATAAAATATATAAGATAACAAAGACCTTGATAGCCTTTCAATAAAAATGATAAAACTTTCTTTATTAATTAATTAAAATAAAATTTGGATACTATCAGAATTATGATAAGACAGTTAATTAAAATTATTAAGGGCCATTAAACATTTATATTTCAAAATAATGCACTCGAAATAAACACTAGTTTTCCATTTGAAAACCAATGATTCTCAATGTTTCGTAATCGATCTAAATGAATGGGTTGCTCAAACAAATGTTGGACTTTAAATTGAAAATGTTTCAATCTTTTTTATACACTATATCTAATGTTTTATTTGGAACTGTGAAACATTATTTTATACAACTTTTTCAATTCATATCGATTGTAGTAGCTGTCACAGAGAGCGCAAATCCTTTTTAAACCCTCTATTAAAAAAAAAACGTGTTACGACCTTGGATAACTTTAAAGTGGAAGGATTATAATTTTGTGGTTTATCGAGTTCAAGTGCTCTTGTAAATCATTGACAATTAGCTTACTTATATTAAATTATTTAATAGTACTTTTAATGGTCTTTTTTCTTTGCAAACGTTCATTGAAGATGGCCAGAATTGTTGTTCTTTATTTTACAGAAGAAATGAGGATGAGGAAACAAACAACAATAGGGTATAATAATAACCGGTGACTATTATTATTAGAGCAATTCCAAACAAGGTTGAGAGCTGTTTAAGAATGCAACAGTGGAAGTATTACAGGAAATTAAATGTTTAGTATAGAAAGTGAGTGCTTCTAAAACATCGTCGCCGAGCATAAAGTTTTCAATTGCAATAACAAATAGATTATCGATTCAAAGTAAGCAACGTCTCAGCAGTGCACCTCTGTATTTCCAATGTATGTAGCAGCAGATAAATCAAATTATGCAAGATGCGTTTCGCAACAACAACAATATAAAAAAAAGGAATCTTATGGCAGACAGGTATCTGTATTAAGATCAAATACACGGTATGACCCATATTTCCGTTATGACTCAGATATGAATTAAAAGTTGTGTAGAAACAAACAGATAAGTCGTTCAGTTTCAACGAACGCAATCGTGATTAATCCTATCGATAAACATTACGAGTCGGAAATTCCTCGTGAAAAGTAGCGAAAGAGAGATGATTTCCATGCAAAGCACAGTTTCTAATCTCGCTATGACGATAATTTTAACTGCTTCAAGTGAACCGTATCAATAAAAATTATACAACGACCTTTCAGATCGGAACTGCTCGCGAGAAGTCGTCGTCGATCATATTTCGAGTTAAGGGAGAAACGAATATAAAAGGGCTCTCGCATGACTGGCTGGTGAAATGAAAATAAAACGAAAAGTACGAATGTTGAAACACAAAATCGGCCATAATAAATCATCAATAATACAACGGCTTCAATGTATGAGTAGTGTTATCATTATATAAATAACCTTATCTGTGTAATATAATAATCTACTATGATTGCATCGAGCTTGCTAGTTCAATTCTTTACTTAGCGTATTATTCATGCGACGTGCCAAATACAACACCTTTCTTGAAGAGCCAAACCGCATCGGAAGATGAATTACCTCGCTATAACGTTACTAATCGGCGCAGCGTCGCACGGGTAAGTGGAGAACGGAAGTTACACATTCAGCAAATTAACGGTGCGAACGATTAACCACCTAGGTTAGGGCTGGACATCGACGAGAACAGCATTAAAATCGACTTATCTAACAGCAAGCTCACCGAAATTCAGGTAACAATAAGATGATAATGTTTTTTTTTGTTGTTGTTAAAAAACGATAACTATTTGCATTTCGGTTTAAAGGATTTCAAAGATTACGCTTTTCTGGAAGAAATCGACTTGTCGAACAATGATGTCACCGAGATCCAATCCACCGTCTTCAAAGATAACCTCCAGCTTAAGAGGATCGACTTGTCCGGCAACAAGAAACTGGAGTTTCCCAAGCTCGGTTCTTTCCTCGAATCCGTCGCTCAGGAATTGAATTTATCTAATTGCGATTTACGGAAAATCCCTGGGAACGCCTTCGACGACCTGCTCAACCTGCAGCAGCTGGATCTTAGCGAAAACCCCATCGACGTATAGTTTACCAAATAACCATAGGATACAATTGAATACATTCGTTTGGATTTCAGTTCGAAGATTCGGACGCTTTCGGGACTATGGGGCATTTCCCGCAAACCGTGATCGTTTCGAAAATCACCGAAGCCGGCTTGAAGAATGTGTGCAGGGTGCCGAAGATGACCATCGTGATTCTTGATGAATCTAAGAACATCACCTGCAGTCAATACGTGCAAAGAGGCAAGTTTTGCTAAAAAAAATTGATTGTTTCGATTGATTTATTTACAACGTGATTCATATAGATGTCCTGGAGAACGTCGATGAATCCAATAATTTAATGGATGATGGAGTAATCGAAGACAACCACCTTGATATTATGATGTCGGATGCGGGCAACGATGAGAGCCTAGAAGGAAGCGGCGATGCACAGGATGTGGATAGCACTCCGATCATCGCGAACGATGATGTTGAAAAATATATGGAAGATGTTGAAGAAGATGTCAAAGATGAAGATACTTCTATTCCAGTGCAATTAGCTCAGGGAGAGGAACTAGAGGTGGACTCTAAGGAGGTCAACAAAGATGACGAAACGAGAATGGACGAAGTGTTGCAAGTCACTGAAGATGCTATCAGAGAAACAACTTTGGACAACGCCAACGAATCCATGGGAGGAGATTTAGAGGAGGAGGAGGAGGATAGCGCTGATACCGCAATAGATCCAATAATACCCACGGCGTTCGGTACCCGAGGAAATTTCGGTTCTGAAACGGAAGTGGTCGAGGAAAATGAAAAATCCAAAGAAGTCGATGTATCCGATGGAGGTGCGGTGAAAGTTCAGGAAGGCGACTTGCAATCATCCAACACTCATGCGGAGATAGTGACCGCCGTGAGAGCCACGAATTCAAGGAACGAAGATATTAAGAGTAAGTATTCACTTCATTATTATCGCTCAAAGAAAAAGAAATGCATATAACGCAAATCAATATTTGCAATCACTTGACATAGAAATCTCAAGACATATTATCATCATTATGCACAAAACTGAATTATGTAAAAGGCATTCTTGGACAGGTAAGATAACGCAATAACGTCACAGCCGATAATCCGAAAAGAAGATAGTGATAATAAGTTAATAAATAGGATAAGTTTGTAACGATGCAATGTATATGCCATATCTAAATGCGCACCTATAAATAATAAATGTGGCGCGTTTAATATTTGTTCGCCTCAAATATGTCGCAAGATAAGGTGAGCTAAACCAAATATCCGTGTGTTCTAGCCGATGCTTCGACAACGCCATCATCCAGCTCCAACATTGCAGTGACCTTGGTCATAGCTGTGATAGTCGTGGGCAGCGTCGCCGTATCCTACAAGTGCTGGCAGAAGCATAAGAAGCCACGTTACGATGCAGTCAATGGCGCCACCACCAAGGAAGATCCGAACGAGGGCAAAGAACTGAAGGAGATCAAAGTGGAAGCGGAGAAGAAACCGCTGATGCCGGACGTTCAACCTGACGAGGTGGAGGAGCTCTGCGATTGCACAGCAAAAGAGGTCATCAACGAACCGGAGAAACACACCATCCCTCCGATGGATGATGACGATGATGAACAACCGAAGAAGTAAATTCAACAATGAAATCAGCGGAATTCCATATTTGTAGCAGTATTTTAATGAAAAAAACGTAGAGAAAAAACAATATGAAAACCAATCCGAGGAATGAAACACTGCGTTCGAATTCTGGACATAACAACTGCACCTTAATTAAATATATAATTAGATTTTTTTTTATTTATTAAATGTTTGTCTGATAGATTTTTTTTTATATAAAAACTGTGGCAAAATTAAGAGATTTGGTCCTATATTTGTAAGTAAATGGTGTTTACTTGTAAGCTTTTTGTATAAATTTATGTAAGAGAAAGCAAATATAATTGCATATGATCATTCCTTCTTTATTTTCCAAAAATATACATTTCTGTACCGTTTTTTTTAAACTGGTAAAAATCCACTTTTGGAAAAAAAATAGTAATTTTAGTAAGATATAGATATCTTCTTTTTTATATTTATAAATTCAAACGCAAACCCTTAAATATCTCGATATATGAAAAAAATGGACTTTATATCTAAACCAGCGTTTTCCAGACTGTGAGACCTAGACTACTCTAAGGGGAGACTCGAATATTAGTCACAGTGAGCAATTTTCCAAATGACTGCTAAAGATTTATCTATTTTATTCCACAAAGCTATTTTGTAATCCATTATACTAATTAATATCAATTTTCATTAATTAACAACATATTAGCATTAATATCGTTTTGTTTACGCTGGGAAAAGTTCATCACGAAAACAACAAGTATCACAGCAGCATCACAAATCGACATTTCGCGTACCTAACGTGTTTGATACAAATTAGTCAGACCTCAAATGCAATTATACCAGCATTTCTTTATAAAGACTCAATTAATCAGCAATGAGAATCTAAAAATACAATTACAATTCGTTCATTCTTTAAAGCAAATAAATTACATTTACTTGCATAATACAAATTAGTATATTTAATATATAAAACATTCCCTAGGCAGAAAGACTTACCGTCAATGAACCAGTTGACTTTTTTGAAATTATATATATTAATATTGTTTTTTTTAATTATGTGTTTTTTTTTCTGTTCGACTGATGCCATAAACATTATTATTATATAAAACACAATTTAAAATTAAATTAATAAATAGAATTATAAAAAAATAACAAATAAAACTTACCTCCATGACCAGAAATACATTATGACTGGACTCTTTGCAGTCCAACAAAGCCACAACGTTTTCATGATGAAGTTCAGTTAATTCCTGCAAATTACAATAAAATATTAATTAACAAATCCTAGAGTTCAAAAAATTGTAAAACTACTCTATTTTATAGTTTTGATAAATTTGCATCTAGATATTAATAGAAATAGTAATAATATATATAAACTAAATAAATATATATTAAAAAACCCTTTGCTATTTGCTATTGTTATATTTAAATTAGATGTAAATTTAAATGACAAATAAATATAAGATTTGTAAACAAACTATGATAAGATAATTGATTTGTAAATACTCCAGAAAAATGAGGAATTCTCAGATTTTTATGGAAGTACGATCAAAGGCTTCTAATTAAATATTAATAATAACTATAGCTTAATTTTAACCTAAGAAATATGCAATGGTTAAAATTATTCCTATTTGCATATGAAACATAATAAATAAAGAATTAAGCTGATTATTAGCACATCAGTTACAATATTTTGCAAAGTATTGGTGATATATGCATACCTTAAGTATTTTGATTTCCTTGCCTAAGAGATTCTGCGACTTGGCCAGGCTCTTCTTGGTAATGCTCTTGACAGCAACAACAAGAGATGGATTCTGCAAAGTAAAATCATAATTGGCATAAGTTTACGGAATGTGGACCAAAGAAAAACAAATGGTAATAGAATAGAACAAAAACAAGGCAAGGTGACTGACCTTCCTATGTCTGCCTTTGTAGACAACAGCGAAGGCACCATGACCAATCAGTTCCTTGGAGTTGTACTCGAAATCCCCAATGCTCTCCATATTTCTTGCAGCACCACTGGTCACAGGGAAATTGTTTATTGTTCTATCAGCAGATCCCAAATCAATAGAAGCGCATATTCCATTCGCGTAAGCATAAATAAAACGAAAAAATTGAAGCGCTAAGAACCTAATCTCCGACCTCTACATTTTGCTCGCATAATCCAGTCCTTAAAGAACCAAAACGCACATGAAACACTATCAAATGGCACTTTCAAACAGAAATATTTGCAACATCTTCACGACAAAACAACCGAAACGTCAATGCTGTCAAACTCCGCCATCATAATATTGATTCTCCGTCTCTGTCTCACTCATCTGGCTTTCTATCGGTATTGCAGATTTCTTCTATACCCACATTATTTTAAATTCCTATGAAAATTGCAACATTCCTTTTAATTACTCCCTTATTTATACAGAAGATTACGTAACAGTAATTTATTTTTTCTTTTAACCATTTGTTAAACTTCCTGAAACTGAAGTGTGTCTGTAACGCAGTCTAATAATATGATTACTATGACATCTACCAAAGCAGTGTTTCTCAACCTTTTTTTTTTTTTTATCTCAAAGGCAGTTTTGAATCTATAGTTAAACGTATTGTTATACTTAACCCGTAACTACTACGGACAAATAAATAAAACATAGGTCAGAATGACCCTTTTATTAAACATTAAAAATAGAAAACTATTTTTTTTTCTCTGTCTCACTCATCAGTCTTTCTATCGGTATTGCAGATTTCTTCTTTTCCTTTGAAAATTGTAACATTTCTTTTAATTATCCCCTTATTTATACAGAAGATTATATAACAGTAATTTAATTTTTCTTTTAACCATTTGTTAAATTTACTGAAACTAAAGTGTGTCTGTAACGCAGTATAAATATGATTATTATGACATCTTCTAAAGCAGTGTTTCTCAACCTTTTTTTTTTATCTCAAAGGCAGTTTTGAATCTATAGTTAAACGTGTTGTTATACTTAACCCGCAACTACTAAGGACAAATAAATAAAACATGGGTCAAAATGACCCGTTTATTAAATATTAAAAATAGAAAACCATTTTTTTTCTCTGTCTCGCTCATCAGTCTTTCTATCGGTATTGCAGATTTCTTCTATTCCTCTGAAAATTGCAACATTCCTTTTAATTACCCTCTTATTTATACAGAAGATTATATAACAGTAATTTATTTTTTCTTTTACTCATTTGTTAAACTTACTGAAACTGTAGTGTGTTTGTAACGCAGTCTAATAATATGATTACTATGACATCTACTAAAGCAGTGTTTCTCAACCTTTTTTTTTTATCTCAAAGGCAGTTTTGAATCTGTAGTTAATCGTATTGTTATACTTAACCCGTAACTACTACGGACAAATAAATAAAACATAGGTGAAAATAACCCGTTTATTAAATATTAAAAATAGAAAACCATTTTTTTTCTCTGTCTCACTCATCAGGATGACATTTACTAAAGCAGTGTTTTTCAACCTTTTTTTTTTATCTCAAAGGCAGTTTTGAATCTATAGTTAAACATATTGTTATACTTATCCCGTAACTACTACAGACAAATAAATAAATCAAGGGTCAAAATGACCCGTTTATTAAATATTAAAAATAGAAAGAAAATATTACAACAAACACAGATTAATTCTTGACGAATTTAACATCATTTTATTTAACATATTTTTGTTGAGCAAGTAGAACAAATTGGTTTTTTGCATATGTTACAAAACGTTGCTATTTTATTTTCGCTCTTGCTTGGACAAAAAAAAACATCTGTTTCTTTTGGAATCCGTTCATTAGGTTGTGTTTCAACAGACATTTCACCTGTATAATACTTGTAATCAAGTTTTCAATCATGCATACATATATGGTTTACAGAACGATCGTTTTACTTATTTTATCAAATAATATCTAGAATTGGTTCATATATACTATAATGAACTAAAGCTATTGACACATTTTTCATCTCATTATAGACATGTATGATATCAGATTGTTTTGTATTAGTGTGTTGCATACTGGATATCACAATTACTGATTTCCCACGTTTTTGTACAAAGGAAACCAAAGTTATTGCACATTGAAATTCAAATATTGATGATATTTCAAGAACGTATTTGATATAGACGGGTCACTTTGACCCGAAATACACTCTACAATAAAATAAGTAGAGGGCACCTCCTAAAAATAACACAAAACTAAAATGTTTAATCAAGATGAATCATTTATTTTTATTGCTCATCGTTTCTTAAATACACAAACACAAATATAAAATGTCTACAAGTAAAATATTGGACCAGCCAAAAATAATGAATACACAAATAAAAACGAACACTTATAAGTTTAATTGGCCCATGGAGTAAACCATAGGCAACAGATGCGGACCATAATAATATCCCTGAATATTTGAACTTATATCGTAGAGCCTAGTATTGCCGTAGATAATCCTCAAGGAGGCGTAAACCGCGGCCGCAGCTACTTTGGACGAAGGATGAATCGAGAACTCCGTGGTCAAAGCGTAATCGCGTATGATTTTCTGAGTTTGCTTCATAATCTTCACTATCTCCTATTAAAATTTTCTTTTAAATTATTATCTATTCATTAAATATATATATATATATATTGGAATATAACAGACCTCGGAATTTGGTCCAATTTTATGTAAATAATACTGAACGAACTGTATAGGCTCGTTGAGCATAAAGTTGTACTCGAAGAAGACCAGCAAATCCTTCTCCAGGATAAGAATTTGTTCCTGAATGTAATGACCTTTGCAAGCATTCAGTAATTTGGCCATCTGTAAATGAATATAATGAATTTCATGATGATAATTATTATTTTTATATATTTCTTTTCACCGAAACTGCATTAACACTGCTGTGTTTGCTCAATATGAAAATAATTGTTATCATGAAGAGATGGTACTTGTCCCTTGGTACGTGCATGTTTGCTAAAACTCTGTCGAACATCTTAATAATCACGTAACGCATATCGTAGGAAATATTAAACTCATTCTCGAACTTGTAAAACCAGAGCACCACTCTTCTCCTGCTCTCCTCGCAAGCTGAATATTTAAGCATAAAACCTTTGTGAAGAACCTGCGACTTTTCCTTCTTCAACATGTGTTTGATAATGTCCTGTAAAACATTCGAATTAGACGTTGATACGTTCAACTTCAGTCACGTACCTCTAAATATTCAAGCGTGTACAAATGTAGAACCTTCGTGACCGGTTCATCTGCAAATAACATCCGTGCCGTCACGTAAACCTTTACTTTAATAAAATACTCACTGGTGCGCCTTTCAGTTTTCCTCTGCTCGAGTTTATTTATGAAGTTTACTTTTTTCCTGGAATCCTTCTTCTTCAAAATGGGCGAGTTGGAATCCTTCTTCTGTAGAAATGCGCTCTTCAAAATTGGCGAGATGTTACACTTTTTCTGCAAGCTGGTGAATTCTATATCCCCATTGAAGATTTTCCTGTGGCAAACTACGTTCCTCTGGAGGTCACCTAAAACTGCACGTTGGACTTCGGTGGAACGGGTTCGCTCCCTTTTGATCTCGATATTTTGATCTCGATGCATCGAATCCGAGCACAACCTTTGCCTCGTGATCTTCGTCCTCTTATTTTCTTTCTCGTAAATTATTCTCTCCATGTTTCACAAATGCTTGCAGATGACTGTACAAAGTATCCTAACTTTATCGCTAAGCACAAGAAATCGAAGAGAAAAAAAAACTACATACATTTATTGATAAACTATCGCATATAAAATATTCAACGAAAATATTCTCAACAATTTTATCTTTGAAAATATTTCATTTAAATATAATATTTTTGAAAACATTTTAATTTTAATCATAAAAATTACGATTAATTTAATATGTTTAATTATATAATATGTAGTCTAAATGTGGCTTAGGATTATAGAACAAATTGATCAAAACAATACAACTCTATTCAAATGTGATAATATTTATTGATACACCTTAAAAACTATGTCATACAATATAAAATTTTTAAAACAAAACAATTATGAATACTTAGCGCAGCTAATATTTCCAATTGATTTTTAAACATTAATAATACAAATTACAAAGATTTTCTCAGTTTTTGCAGGTTCGGATACTTTTTCAACTCCGTTGCTATAAACTTTTCAGTCTTTTTATTAATTATTGCACATTCAGCAAGATAAGCCTGAGATCTTTCCAGATATTTCTTAAATTCGTCCAAATTCCTCTCCGGCTTCTTTTCCGGTGTCTTTGATGTGTATTCTTCGACTTCATCGTAAGTCTTATTGATTTCGATGCGTTCGTATTCGTAATTTTTCACCGTTTTTTCAACAACAGTAGTTTCAGTTGATACAAACGATTTTTCCCGAATCATACTAACTTTTTCTGAAAGTTGCAGCAACGAGTTGGGAGTGCTCTCGCGCTTCTTCTTCTTCACGACCTTCTTCTTGATGGGAACTGGAGGTAATTCGACGTGTCTCTTTTGCTTGTATTCATCCCATGTCCATTTTTTACCCATTGGCGAAGGTGTATGCTGCTTTCCCATCGATCTTTTCTCTAAGTTTAAAGAGGACATAGATTGAGTAGATTCGGTCTTCATTACGATGCTATCTGATTTTTTACTCATGTTAATTTAATTTATTATTCCGGAGTCAATAATAAAGTATAGTCTTGCTTCAAATTTGCGATACTTTTAAAGATTTAAACATTTTTTACGAGATTTTATTGATTTTTATTGCGCAAAAAATGTACCATAAAAACAAAGTATAGCTGGTGATCTACAAATAAAGTTTTATTTAAATTCTCTAAAAAGCAAATTTTTATTTAACTTTAAATTTAATACTAAATATTCCAATGATAAACTTTGAAACGCAACTTAGATGCGAGCTATAGTTTTTGAAAATTCATATCATTTTATCTTGATGATACTTCACTTCGTTCACAACTTCATTCATCATTTGTCATTTATCTTCAACAGGGTCATTTGTGTATGGGACAGTATACACTATAATTTTCGTAATTTTTTGGCATTTTCTTTATTATTACCTAAATAATAATCCGTAAAATAAGATGTCTGGTATCGCTGGAGCTCGTTTGACTGAAGAAAGGAAAGCTTGGAGAAAAGAGCACCCATTTGTAAGTATTGAAATGGTTGTACATTTTTTTGAATGGATTTAATTATTGTGTTTACTGCAGGGATTCGTTGCAAGGCCCAGTAAAAACGCCGATGGTGCTCTCAATTTGATGAACTGGGCGTGCTGCATTCCTGGTAAAAAGGGCACTCCATGGGAAGGTGGACACTACAAACTGCGAATGATCTTCAAAGATGATTACCCCAGCAGTCCACCCAAATGCAAATTTGAGCCACCACTGTTCCATCCGAATGTTTACCCTTCAGGCACTGTTTGCCTATCCTTGCTGGATGAGGAAAAAGACTGGAGACCAGCAATCACAATCAAACAAATCTTGTTGGGCATTCAAGATTTACTAAATGAACCTAATGTAAAGGACCCAGCTCAAGCAGAGGCCTACACAATTTATTGGTAAGAATCATAGTTAATAACTAATCAATTCTGAATATGATTGTTAATCTTATGTTATTGTTGTTTTTTTTTCAGTCAAAATCGTTTGGAATATGAGAAAAGGGTCAGAGCACAAGCAAGGGTGATGGCACAACAAGAAATGGAATAAGTTCAGTACCTCTAAAATATGTTTTTCTTAATTTAATCTGTATTATAATAAAAGTAGTTTTAACATAACAAAACGATACAATTGTTAACTTCTAGGATACGTTTATAATATTTTTTAAATAAATAAATATACTTTTTTTATAAAGTTATGAAGATTTTTTAATGTGTCAATAAGAAATTCCTACAACATTTCTATAGAATCAATAGTAGATGTATTATATTTCAATAAATATAATATACATAAGTGAATATCAATATCTACAAATGGTCTACAGTGGTCTTAAAACAAGGTAGGTTTATGGTTGAATTATTAGTGTTGTGGCTACACTGAATTATTGATAGTTGAAGAATTGGGTAATTTGTCTGTTCTTATGTAAATTATTAATTATCTTAGAATTAGTTAACATTAAGTAAAAGCAATACTATTTTTGTTGAAGTTAATAAACAATTAATATAAATAAAATTGACCCAAAGACAATAATCATAGAATTTGTTAACTTTCGTGGGTTATTTAATGGTGCAACTAATACTAAAATAATCGTTTATTATTAAAAGTTAACGTAATTATTACAAATAACAGCATAATTATGAAAATCCAATTAATTTGAATATTCTAATGTTGGCAGTCGTGTTTAAATTCGAGGGTATGTCTTTTTTTTGACATAACTGTGGTGTTCTGTCAAATTCTTCACCAATTTACCGCTTTTCTTTGTGTGTTTTCAGCTCTGAAATAAACAAATTACAGCCCTGCTTACACGAGTTTTTTTTTCACTTATTGGATATCCGTAATCGGCCGAGTTAATTACTAGCTGTCTGCACGATGTCTGGTATTTCCGGCGCCCGTTTGGCTGAGGAACGAAAGGCTTGGAGGAAGGAGCATCCATTTGTGAGTAGACCTAGCTTCTTTCCTAAAACCCGATTGTATATAACCTAAAAACCGACTGCTTTTCTCGAATTGCAGGGCTTCGTTGCACGACCCAGCAAGAATCAGGATGGTTCCCTGAACCTGATGAATTGGATCTGCTGCATTCCCGGCAAGAAGAGCACCCCGTGGGAAGGAGGCCACTACAAACTTCGTATGATCTTCAAAGACGATTACCCGAGCAGCCCGCCCAAGTGCAAATTCGAGCCGCCACTTTTCCATCCGAACGTCTATCCCTCGGGCACTGTTTGCTTATCGCTACTTGACGAAGAGAAAGATTGGAGACCAGCCATAACAATAAAGCAAATTTTACTTGGAATACAGAATTTATTGAATGAACCTAATGTTAAAGATCCAGCACAAGCAGAAGCTTACACAATTTATTGGTCAGTATTTTGTTTCTTTAAATTTTCATTTTTTGTTAATGTGATGTTCTTTCTGCAGCCAGAACCGTTTGGAGTATGAGAAGAGGGTGAGAGCACAGGCAAGAGCCATGAACCAACAAGAACTCGAATGTTAAGAGTACTGATACTTATTTATGATACATACATATAAATATATTATAAGATGTTTCCATTATTGTGCTATTATCATTTCTTGATTTATTATTTTTTGTAATTACTATAATCCAATTAATTGAGTATTGTGTATGCAGGAGTCAATAAATTTATTTTTTTTATGTATTAGCATTTAGATGATATGTACACATATATTCGTACAAATAAACTTCAATGAAACTCGGACGTTTCAAATAAAATTTTATAATTATTACCAAACTGATCTGAATAAATAATACTACATTAGAAATTTAACAGAATTTTATTTGTAAAATTCAATACATTTCATTAATTTAGACAATTAAATCATTGTTTATTTAGTACTTTAATTATGTTTACTAATTGTTCTATTAAGAAAATATCGAGTTACTAATTCTATTGTAATTGGAGTAGTTGGAATTGCCTATAAGAAGTATAGGAGTTGGAGATTCCTCCGTCGACGTCGCCACTGTTATTTTGGCATCTGGTTTGCAAAAGTTTGGTTGGTGAGCGAATAATACTAGATGTTTAGAATATGCCTGTAAAGGTAGATATTGCGCCGCCACCGCCGGCAAATTCGAAGCAACCAGGAGTCACCAAGTCCCTTCTCTACAACGGCTCCAAGTTTCAAGGATTTCAAAAGTCTAAAGGAAACTCTTACGAGGTGGAAGTAGTTTTACAGGTTAGTTTAAAAAAAAAACATCAAACTTTGATCCGTTCCATCGATTTAGATCCAATACAGAAAAGTAAAGTGCATAATAACATTATTTTTGGCGACGATTTATAAACAGTCGCTGCACCGAAATACCCCTGAACATATGTCACTTTGACATTTGAGCGAGACCACTCCCCCCGGCTTTAACCTCATAACAATTTTTCGCGCCAAATAACTTTTTGAATATTCCTTTTCAGCACGTAGATGAAGAGAACTCTTACCTGTGCGGATACTTACAAATAAATGGACTGACGAACGAGTATCCAACGTTGACCACCTTCTTCGATGGTGAAATCATAAGCCAGAAATACCCATTTTTAACGAGGAAATGGGACGCTGACGAAGATGTTGACAAGAAACATTGGGTATTAAATCAAATAGCTTTAAGATTTAAATAAACTCAATAATTTTCTTTTTTTTTTAGAGTAAATTTACTTCATTCTGCCAGTATGCAAAGACTTTCAATTCAGATACGTTTAATTATAAAGCTCTCGCTGATACGGATTTCGTCTTCATGAGATGGAAGGAACATTTTTTAGTGCCTGATCATACTATTAAGGATATTAGTGGAGCCTCCTTTGCAGGCTTCTATTACATATGCTTTCAAAAGTCAAAGGCAAATATTGAAGGTTATTATTATCATCGAAGTTCAGAATGGTAAATATATTATACTTTCTATTCACCTATTTGCATATAATAGCATTCAATTACAGCATTATTTTATCAATGCCACACATTCAATAATTGTTATTTGCAAATATATTGCAAGTTCAATCAACAACAGCATATCATGTTACATTTACCAATGACTCACATTATTCTAGAATCATTGATTCATGAGTCATTATTACCATTTGTTCCAATTATGTAACTATCATAAAACTAGTATTTGTTACAGGTATCAATCTTTAAATTTGACGCACGTCCCTGAACACAGCATACAGATCTACGAGTTCAGGTGAAGTGAAAACGACTCGATCTTCGAGAATCCACACAAAAAGAAACAAACAAAAAAAAAAAACACGCACTCTCTATCGTTTATTACTTTGAAGTTTACATTTCGGATATGTATTATATAATATTCTTACAAAACTAATTGTGGTTACGTTAACTAGTCAATAAGTGAATTATTATTATTTTTTTTTCCTGTTACGAAACAAGGATTTGATGCGGTCAAGAGTTATTATTATTTTATTTATTTTTTGTTAAAATCCGCAAAAATTAATTTGAAGCAACTGCAAAATTAAAAATAAAATAATTATAAGGAAACGCGTAGGAAACAACTTCTAATATGATTGATTAGATTATATACTTAGTATTAATTACGAAGACCTATGTTAGTCGCGGCATGTGAAATTAAGTTATTTGAATTACTTTAGGTGAAATTTTGTTTTTACTCTGTTGTGTATAAATATATTTTTTAAATTGTTACTTTTTCTTGAACCTTTCATTTCTAATTTATTTTTGTAATTTTCGTCGGAATTGTATTGATTGAAATGTGTGTAATTTCGAGCAAAGTTGTCAATTAGTAATAGTTGTAAGGAATGCGAAAACGCTGAAAACTATTTTTTATATTGAATCGATATCAATATAGTTTTTTTTTTAATTTTGGTAAATAAACTGTTATACATTTCTACGAATTATAGTATAATAACAGACCTATTTACGCTAAGATAGAAGTTTTGATTAATTTTCATTCCTATATGCATCAACTATAAAGTTTTTCCACAATTTGTAAGTAAAAACTGTCAAATTCATCCATCCAATCATAACATACGTTGCTTAACTTTCATTACAAACTTTTCAGATTAAGATAATACTTGAAAGTCACTAGACTACATTGGTTTTTGGGATCAAATATGAAATTAAAAAATGTATGGGAAGTGTTTAAAATTATTTTTTTTTAATAAGTACAAATACAACGAAATGTAATTACAGGTTTAATATAAAAAAAAATGGTGAAGGTAATAACATCAAAAGTGAAAAATAATAATTACATGTTATGTTAAAAGCCATATACAGGGTAAAAAATAGAATAAATAAGATGCATTTTGAATAATAAAAAAAAACAAACAAATAATACAAAACAACCTCTAGATGGGTGGGAAGTGTGGGCAAAACAATAAATAACAACGGTTTCTGTCAAACTTGTACAGTTCTGTTTTCCATTTCTTTTTCTTGTTACTCAATATTTATAAATACTGATTAATCTCAAATATAATTTTTCCTTCAATATACACAAAATATATACAATTTTTTTTGTTTTATCAATTACTTTGTTTCTTCTCTCATTCTTTTTTTTTTGCATATCGAAAATAATTATTGCAAAATCACTCGTTCGCTTATTCACAACGAATCACCTAAATCTATAGGTCTCAGTCTGTGATGCCGCAAGCTGAGGTCATTCAGTTTCATATCTTTGTCCCATGTGCTGCCTTTGAACAAGTGGAGTAGTTTACGACGAGTCATTGCTATATCAATTAGTTTAGTGTAAATAGGACGGTTAGTCATATAAGAAAAAGGATATATATATGCAGATTTAAATAGTTAGTTCTCGAGTATAACCAGAACACAACGTAACAAAAAAATATATGTATGTATATATATATATATAGTATTATTTTCTGTCATTGTTTTTATACGCATATAAAAAATTAAACTGTCTCATTAATATTTGTACTCTCTCTCTTCTGTTTTATACCTTTAACGTACCTAAATATATCGCGCACCTGTAGGACTTGATAGAAATCAACGTTGGTCTTGATATGACAGAACGTATTATAGGTACGTATTGTATAGAAACTCAGTTTCCCACAAATTTATTAATGATCGAGTCCACTTCACACTGGTCTTTTATATCCTTCGGGAATTTACAAGTCTTTGGTTCATCATGAAATGCAGCAGCTGTTTCTAGGTACGCAGCTCCTGTTGTCGGCCGGCGATGACGGGGTTGTGAGCAGCTTCAGCTTCTTAGAATGGCTTTTCTTCTGACTGTGCGAGTACCTCAGTTGCGTTCGCGTTGTCAACGCGTACGACTTTAAGTGGGATTTGACGCACGTCGGTAATGGTAGCTGCTCTATACTATAAACGGTCGTCCTCGTTACAATCGCGCGACAGCACAGCTCTTGTAAACTTAACACTAAACAAAAAATCAAATTTATTATTTAGTAGAATTGTAAGAAATACGCAATTACCTTTATTTGATCTCCATAGCCTTTCCATGCCGTTCCTTTGGAGGGCCATTCTCGAGAGTTCGCAGAAGCTTTCAATGACATTGAATTTGTTGCACAGCGGGGATATCTCGAAGAAAGCCATGCTGTTTTTATCGGCGTACGCTTGAGCATCCTTCACGCCGACTTTCCGCTTAAACGCTAATTCCAGTCTATTACCAACAAGCACCTTTGGCACCCCAGGCGCATGCTGAAACGAATTTTACAATTAACACAAATCAAAGATGTATTAAGATAACCAACCTCATCAACTTCCTTCAGCCATCTATCCAATCCATCAAAGGACCATCTATTAGTTATGTCATAGACAAGAAGAACTCCTTGGGCTCCCCTCGAATAAGACCTTATTATAGTGCAGAATCTGCCTTGTCCTGAAGTGTCCCATAGCTGGAGCTTCACCCTCTTGCCATCCAGCAGTATAGTTGTTGTTTTATAAGCTACAATTAAAAAGTGACAATAAACAAATATATTATTATGATTTAGTAAAAAATACTTACACTTTCCACTGCCACTGCAGAAAGGTGATTCTGAAGCCCCATCATCTAGATCCGAGAGGATCTCCTGTTTCCCTACATCACTGTCACCGACCAGCAGGAACTTCAGTAAGTAGTCGTAGGATTTCTGTGGGGGCCGACTGCTATCCTCAGCCATAATAGTGGAATTGATGTGATTGTCACCATAATAAACAATCTGTATGGGCTACAGCACTGGGGACGTGAACTCGCATTAGTATGGAATGCGCTTCCATTTAGAGAATGTAATTTATTGCAAATGCAAATTCCAGTTTCGACTTATTTTTAAAGCAGAAGGTCGTTCGTACCTGAGGTGTGGATACTTGTGTGAAATCACTCGGAAACGAAACTGGAGATCATCGCGTATCGTATGCGATTGTCCTTCGATGTGCAACAAATCTTCTGGTACGTCCGTCTTTGTTAGTCCTTGCTGCATATATAATTCACATTATTTTTTTTGTAGATCAACAAACAAGATGGTGAACTGTCAGGTTTCAAGTGGGCTGTGCGTCCGTAGGGATTTTCACTTTGTGCGCTTTTGGTTACGACGTGATTTTTTTTTTCTTCGAAAACGTAGTTCAAATCTTTCATAATTCAATTTCAGATTTTTTTTTTCTAAATGCTAAATAATTAACTATTAATCATTAACAAACTAATCATTTACAAAAATTATATAGTTCTTTTGAACATTTCCAAGAAAAACAATTAATATATCATTAACAAATTCCTAATAAATTTATACAATTTTGATTCATTAAAATTAAACTTTCATTATTAAACAATATTAATGTAATGTCTTAATTAAAGATTTTAAGCACATTTTCGCAGAATTTGAAAGAATCTTATTTTCTTAGAAGCAAAACCATTTAAAAACTTTCCACTTCTTCCTATAACGAACACAAAAAGATCATTGAGTTATTAATTATAAATTATTCTCTATTTCATATAGATTTTAAAGAAAGTATTATCAGAAACAAGACGTTTTTCTTGACTTAATGAAACATGATTTCTTAGAGCATTTTAATATCATTTAACAAATTCATTAGTTAAGTAAAAAAAACTAAAATGAATATATTTCTTAAGAACTTTAATTAACCTAATTAAAGATTTATTTTAATTAAAATATTTGTGTTTAATAGAATGGAAATTTATTACCGTAAACTTGAAATTTAAATGATACAATAAATCACACTTCTATTTTCAGTTAATTTATTAAGTTTTGAAATCATCGACAATTTCATAATTGCACTACGTTTAAATAAATTTACAGTACAGTGGAACCTCGCTTAACGAGCAAAATTAATTGTAAGAAAAATGACTCCCTTAACGAGCGAAGTTTAAGAAGAGAAGTCCCGGATTGCGCGCCTGCTACATCATTTTTAAAATGTACAGACTATATCAAAATCTCGACAACCATAACCCGACTGTATCAGAATCTCGACAACCATAATCCCGACTATATCGAAAATTTATACAATAACATTTTTAAATTATTCCGGAGCGTAGTCACCTTGTGCTACATTTTTATTATTAATAACAAAAAAATATTATTAATTTATTTGATTTTGTTGAATTATTCATAATAAACCTTAACATTATGAAATAATATCAAATACATTAAGATTATTAATTGTTATTATTTATAATTAATAACAATTTAAAAGTCACTACGCTCCGGAATAATTTAAAAATGTTATTGTAGACATTTTCGATATAGTCGGGATTATGCCGGAATTTTAATTGACGGTATTTCGGTTGTCGGGCTTGCAATTGCCACCTGATTAAACTCGTTAAGCGAGGTTCCACTGTAATTTGATAGTTTTAATCAATTGAATTGATATATGTAAATGAATAGTAGGAAATACGGTTTCATTTTAATCAATGTTTGCTTAGTTCTATTGTATTATATTTTGTTGGAAGAGGAACATCGATCATCATAAAACAGAGAGCAAATAATATCTTTGTTTGATGAGCGATACAATATGGAGACACAAAGAGAAATATAAATGAGTAAAAATTTTATTTAATAAACATGTTTATGAACAGAAGTGTTTTTTATGTGGTCTCTGTAAAAGAATAGAAGAAAAAGACAATTTAATATTGCATCTCAATAGATATACCTACCTGCCTTTACGAAATGATGAGTAGTCTTACCTTCCTGGACATAAATGATCAGTTGAATGCACAGTTCAATCAACGGAGAGAGGAAAAAAAATAATGATAATAAAAAGATCGAATAAAAAATACATAACCTCAGAGAAAACCACCACGATCATCATCATCATCATGATCACCGCCACTACTCTCAATCTCTTTCTCTCTCAATCTACCTCTATAGGTTCTCAAAACAAAACAGTCTGATCGAAAGTCTAGTCTGAAAATCAAGATTAAAGTTGTCTCGGTCATATGTTTGTCAAGCCCCAAAATCAATGAATGAATTTTTTGCGACAGTACAGCACCTGGGCGGCCACAGACAGCTCTGCTAAGAGTACGCCCCCGCAACCTGGGACTGCTACTGCAACTGCACGTGGGGCTGAGAAACAGCTACACCAGGTCTCTTTGACTCAGCCTCTCTTTCTCCCTCGACACGCCACAGCTAACACTGCCACGCCTGTGCATATATTAAAACACGTTAGTTTTTCTCGTCCACCAGATCACATATCAACAAAAATATGCAATAATAACAAACATCATCAACAAACAAACAAAAAAAAACAGTAATAACATTTGGTGAAAATGTATGTGTGCCTTCAGATATATTTCTTTAGTTAAAATAGAAGAAACATTATTATTATCAATATATATATAGAGATGTAGAATTAAAAAAAAAATGTACGTATGCTCGTTCGCAAGTGCATCTAAGCATGGCACTCGCGAATTCCGAACGAAAAGTAATCAAGAAACGAAGGAGAACAAGAAACTAAATTAGAAAAGTTGGCCTTATACAGAACACTTACAATTACACTCCAGTGTTTTAGTACTTTTAAAACTTTTAAATACAAATTCGCTATCATACAAGTATTATTGCTCTTTATATATTTGCTTTCAATTTAAGTTAACAGAATCCTGCAAATAACAAATTTTGAATCCATCTGAATATATTTAAAATCTACTAATTACATTTTAATAATAAGTGTACTTTTTATTCTAAATATATTCAATTAAAAGAAAATTAATAATAATAAAATTAAAGAAAAGAAAAAAAACACGAAAGAACGAAAAGTAATAAAAGAATTTGACTTGAAATATATATTCTTCAGTTTGCAATTTAACAATTGTCTTAACTATAAACTATTTTAATATCGAAAAAAAATATTATCGAAACTGAACAAGTAAAAAATAATGAATTTAAAAAATAATAGTTACGAATAAGTGAAAAATAATATTAAGGAATACCAAGTTCAATAATAATTAAAAAAAATAATAAGAAGTAACTAAATAACTAGATACCTTGATTTTCTTAAACACAAACCGCAACATGGCAACTATGAGGGCGCCAAAAATTGAAAAAGGCACCGCCAGGTCTAGGATATCTGCGAAAAAAGAAACGGATATTCGTAAGACGCTGAAAAGTTGACTGTTTTCGATCTTACCTATGATTTAGACCGGGAACGCGACTTGGTATTATTCTCCCTGTCGCCGCCTCTCTTTTCGGATTTGGAACGAGATCTGGAGCGACCTCTTGAACTTTTGCTGTCTGATCTTGACCGGCTGCGACTCGGCGAACGTCTTCTGTATGAACGAGACCTGGAGCGTCTTCTGGATCGTGATCGAGACCTGGATCTTGATCTCGAATGTCCCCCCCTGCAACGACACCAAATCAAAAAGCACATTAGCATCAACGTTTATACTCTCGCAAGAGTATCTTTTTACCTCCTCCTATTAGATCTACCATACCTCCTATGGGGCGACGTCGGCCTTCCATAACGTGCCATTTGTACCCTCAACTCCCTGCCATCCAACATTCTACCATCCATGGCATCTAAAGCATCCTGTGCATCACGTTTATCATAAAATCTGCAAATATTATATTGATATTATTATTTAAAAAAAAAACAGTGTTAATGGTTAAATTCAAAGACGAAGAAGTAAACAGATAAATTTCTATAAATAAGGCGCGAATTGCATCATAATATTTTTCTCGAAAATTAAGTAAACAAGTTAAATTCGCATCTGGTTAAAGAAGAAGGCTAGATGTAGAGCGCAGCACCTATGCCGCCTTTCACCTTTGAAGAAAGGTGATGCAGCAATTATCGGAAACATATTTGATACAAGAGTATATCAATGCATCATTAATGTTTACAAAAACTAAAGGATAAAACAAACGACGTAGAGATGTAGATTTGGGTCAACGACCCTCAGCGTCTAGAAGGGAAGAGGGAGAAGAGAAACGGAAGCGGCGCCAACGGTTTTTCTTTTTGGCTCAATATAATACGTACCTTACGAAAGCAAATCCTCTGCTTTCGCGCGTGAATCGATCCCGAGGGATGTAAATATCGCCCACCTCGCCGCATCTTTCGAAGACCCTTCGCAGATCATCCGGAGTTGTTCGGTAAGTGAGGTTATCAACTTTTAGAGAAACCATGCCCTCGATGCGGGGTGGCGGTCGTCCGTAACTCATCTTGGTCTTTCGGGCACGGTACAAACGGAGGAACTCGATCTGCTACATGCACTCTCTGACACAGAAATTAAACTGAATTTATAATGCCAAACATGACGCTAAAAACAACCCACCTAAAATGGCCGACGCATTTTTTGCGCATGCTTTAGGTGGCTTTTCCTCAGGAACCAACAGTAGGACCAACATAATAATACCGTTACCAACAACACGACAAGAAATTATGATGGATGCATTCGGGGATTCCCCCATTGGCATCCATATACCAACCGTTCTAAAACCAGTGCAAATCAACTTTTCCTCCTTTTTTTTTGTCATTTTTATCCGATTTGATACGAAAATTGGTAGGAACAACAAAAATTATGGGGCAGAAAATCACCGAAAGGGTGGCGGAATAACGAGCATTTCGCTTAACGAGCAAAATAAATTGTAGGTTCCACTGTATTTAAATAATTTCATAGTTGTTTTACTCTTTACAAACCAATTTTATAATCATTGCAAAGTTCAATACAATTTCATCAAATATGAAAAGTATTCTGTTATTTTTAAATTTCTACATTACTTCTTAATAATATACGTTACAAATGTGCTAAACGAAAAAGAGAGTTAACTAAGAATATATTTATTATAATGTCGTGTCCCAGGGATGGAATTCTGGACACAGTGGAATATTGTCTGGTTTTGTCGTTGTGGAGTCTCAGTAGTTGGGAATTAAATAATTCAATTGGTTTT